GCAGCATATTCCTGAACCGCTCATCTGCCACACCTTCGATCCTCTTCCTCAGCCGCTGGCAGCCTCTCTCGTATGCGCGGCGCCTCAGACGCTCGTCTGAACTCTCGTCTTTGGGTTCTCGCTCATCTTTTCCCTGCAGAACCAGAAGCTCAGAAAGAAAGGAGCACACAGACAACTGAGGAGGCTCAGATCCCACTCTACCCCCGCAGGATGAAGTAGTAACTGCACCACGTGGTCACCTGACCCTTCTGTTCTGACAGACTGGTTCTGGATCATCAGGCGTTCTGAAAACAGGAACCGGTTCTGTTTACCTCCTTGTCGAAGTGTGTGGGCCACCAGGTGGTCGGGATCAGCTCCTCCAGCCCCGCCTCCTTGACTCTCAGAGGAGTCTTGATGTAGAAGAAGACCACTGAACGCAGAACATCGAACGTAATCTTCGTTAAGGAAAGTTGACCCAATCGGCTGCTGGTTCTGGACTGAGCGTGGAAACGGAACCGGGCATCTCAGAAGGATATAGGACGTTGTTGAGCAGGTACTTCCTGGACTTCTCGTGGCGCAGGATGGCGGTGGTCAGACGCAGATAGTGGATCTGGAACAGAAACCAACGTCTGATCAGCTGTAGTGCAGAGCGCCACCCGGTGGAGAAGGCAGGCAGCGGGTCGTACCTGGAAGCCCAGGTCTGGGATGATGGGAGAGAAGCGGTACGCCCTCAGCAGGGACATCATGAGCTGCTTCAGACACTCGTTCACCTCGTGGTCCTGCAGGCAGAGGGAACACCATGAACTTTGACCCTGCAGGACTGGGTCGCACTGGGGTCAAGGTCCAGTTCCCCCGGCTAGACTTAAGATGACTGATGCTGTTGACCCGACTAACTAGACCAATCAGAACATTTGATGAGAAACCAGCAGGTAGAATCATTACAGCTGATCTATGTTTGTACTGGTGAGACACTCAGTCACACTGAGACCCACTGGTGAGACACTCAGTCACACTGGGACCCACTGGTGAGACACTCAGTCACACTGGGACCCACTGGTGAGACACTCAGTCACACTGGGACCCACTGGTGAGACACTCAGTCACACTGGGACCCACTGGTGAGACACTCAGTCACACTGGGACCCACTGGTGAGACACTCAGTCACACTGGGACCCACTGGTGAGACACTCAGTCACACTGGGATCCACTGGTGAGACACTCAGTCACACTGGGATCCACTGGTGAGACACTCAGTCACACTGGGACCCATTGGTGAGACACTCAGTCACACTGGGACCCATTGGTGAGACACTCAGTCACACTGGGACCCACTGGTGAGACACTCAGTCACACTGGGACCCACTGGTGAGACACTCAGTCACACTGGGACCCACTGGTGAGACACTCAGTCACACTGGGATCCACTGGTGAGACACTCAGTCACACTGGGACCCACTGGTGAGACACTCAGTCACACTGGGACCCACTGGTGAGACACTCAGTCACACTGGGACCCACTGGTGAGACACTCAGTCACACTGGATCCACTGGTGAGACACTCAGTCACACTGGGACCCACTGGTGAGACACTCAGTCACACTGGGATCCACTGGTGAGACACTCAGTGACACTGAGACCCACTGGTGAGACACTCAGTCACACTGGGACCCACTGGTGAGACACTCAGTCACACTGGGACCCACTGGTGAGACACTCAGTCACACTGGGACCCACTGGTGAGACACTCAGTCACACTGGGACCCACTGGTGAGACACTCAGTCACACTGGGATCCACTGGTGAGACACTCAGTCACACTGGGACCCACTGGTGAGACACTCAGTCACACTGGGACCCACTGGTGAGACACTCAGTCACACTGAGATCCACTGGTGAGACATTCAGTCACACTGAGACCCACTGGTGAGACACTCAGTCACACTGGGACCCACTGGTGAGACACTCAGTCACACTGAGACCCACTGGTGAGACATTCAGTCACACTGAGACCCACTGGTGAGACACTCAGTCACACTGAGATCCACTGGTGAGACATTCAGTCACACTGAGACCCACTGGTGAGACATTCAGTCACACTGAGACCCACTGGTGAGACATTCAGTCACACTGAGACCCACTGGTGAGACACTCAGTCACACTGAGATCCACTGGTGACACTCAGTCACACTGGGATCCACTGGTGAGACACTCAGTCACACTGGGACCCACTGGTGAGACACTCAGTCACACTGAGACCCACTGGTGAGACACTCAGTCACACTGGGACCCACTGGTGAGACACTCAGTCACACTGGGATCCACTGGTGAGACACTCAGTCACACTGAGATCCACTGGTGAGACACTCAGTCACACTGGGACCCACTGGTGAGACACTCAGCCACACTGGGACCCACTGGTGAGACACTCAGTCACACTGAGATCCACTGGTGAGACATTCAGTCACACTGAGACCCACTGGTGAGACACTCAGTCACACTGGGACCCACTGGTGAGACACTCAGTCACACTGAGACCCACTGGTGAGACATTCAGTCACACTGAGACCCACTGGTGAGACATTCAGTCACACTGAGACCCACTGGTGAGACATTCAGTCACACTGAGACCCACTGGTGAGACACTCAGTCACACTGAGATCCACTGGTGAGACACTCAGTCACACTGGGATCCACTGGTGAGACACTCAGTCACACTGGGACCCACTGGTGAGACACTCAGTCACACTGGGATCCACTGGTGAGACACTCAGTCACACTGGGACCCACTGGTGAGACACTCAGTCACACTGGGACCCACTGGTGAGACACTCAGTCACACTGGGACCCACTGGTGAGACACTCAGTCACACTGAGACCCACTGGTGAGACACTCAGTCACACTGGGACCCACTGGTGAGACACTCAGTCACACTGAGACCCACTGGTGAGACACTCAGTCACACTGGGACCCACTGGTGAGACACTCAGTCACACTGGGACCCACTGGTGAGACACTCAGCCACACTGGGACCCACTGGTGAGACACTCAGTCACACTGGGACCCACTGGTGAGACACTCAGTCACACTGGGACCCACTGGTGAGACACTCAGTCACACTGGGACCCACTGGTGAGACACTCAGTCACACTGAGATCCACTGGTGAGACATTCAGTCACACTGAGACCCACTGGTGAGACATTCAGTCACACTGAGACCCACTGGTGAGACATTCAGTCACACTGAGACCCACTGGTGAGACACTCAGTCACACTGAGATCCACTGGTGAGACACTCAGTCACACTGGGATCCACTGGTGAGACACTCAGTCACACTGGGACCCACTGGTGAGACACTCAGTCACACTGGGATCCACTGGTGAGACACTCAGTGACACTGGGACCCACTGGTGAGACACTCAGTCACACTGAGACCCACTGGTGAGACACTCAGTCACACTGGGACCCACTGGTGAGACACTCAGTCACACTGGGATCCACTGGTGAGACACTCAGTCACACTGAGATCCACTGGTGAGACACTCAGTCACACTGGGACCCACTGGTGAGACACTCAGCCACACTGGGACCCACTGGTGAGACACTCAGTCACACTGGGACCCACTGGTGAGACACTCAGTCACACTGGGACCCACTGGTGATAATGAAACATCTAAATAAATCCCTGCTGCAACGTGGAAAACCTAAAAATTGATTCTGCAACATTTTCATCCTCCAGGGGGCGCTCCCCTCAACCCAAAGCTGAGTTTCTGTTTTCTAGAGCCTTGCTTGAGGCTCCTGATCCCCCCTGGAGAAGCAGCTCCACCTGGTGGCCCAATCGGGTCGGAGGTTGCAGCTCCATGTTTACCTCCATCAGCAGCCAGAAGAGGTCCAGCAGCTGCTGGATGAGCGGATGTTCATCCACAGAACCGCCTCCTTCCAGGATTCCCAGCAGGAAGTTCATTAGCACATCCTCCACCAGGTAGACCTTACACTGCAGACAGACACATAAGGACCGTAACAGCAGCGCCTCCTGCTGGCGGGAAGCAGCCGCTGCAGCCTCATCTGGGCCGCAGGCTGCTGAACATGAGGTTCTGGTGAAGGCTGCAGCTGCTTGTCTCACCATGAGCGGAGCAAACAGGTTGAAGATGTGAGCCAGAGTGATGAGAACGGTCGGATCTCCCTGGAGCCTCCAGACGGCGCAGTCTTTCTCCAGCAGCTTCTCTTCCTGAACACAGATGAAGGCCAGGAACAACAGGTAAATATTAAAGTTTTTAATACGGCACTCAATTTTTTATTATGTTAGTTAATTACAAATTAATTTAAATATTTTCGAAAAATGACTTATTTCACAACCTTTCTCTGTTCAATTATGAGAATATAGACACAATATTAGCAGAATAAGGAAACAGTTTTACCAGAAAATCATCTTAATATTACAAGAATAAAGTTGTTTTATTGAATAAAAATTCTATTGAGATTCAACATAAGCAGCTCAATCCTGCTGCTGAAAATAATTTATGTTCAAATTTAAAACTGATCCCAACGTATAATTTCATAAAATTCTCAACATTCCCCATTTAAGTTTTTGTTGTTTTTTATAATAATAACATAATGAAATTATTGCTTAATTCTGCAAATATAAAAACTGGATTCTGGTCATATTAATGGTTTATTATCACTTTGTTTCAACTTTGTCCTCAAAAACTCAGATTTCTGTCGTAAAGTTGAGCTGAGTTCAAAGCCCAAATAAACAGAAAAACACACTTATCAACAAGATGGCCGCCCTGCTGACATCACTCTGCACGGTGGAAACACCAGGAGATAATTGGTGGAAAATATCCCAGATTTTCCAAACATTTAACTTTCAAAAACCAAAAACTGGATTGCTGGACAAACGGGATTTATTTTACGAAGACGCGTCCTGAACTCAGTCGACCCAAACCGGCTTCCCGACCGTTCGGTGAGAGCAGCACCTGAGCGTCGATGGAGGTGGAGAGGACGTTCTTGATGTATCCCAGCAGCCTCTGGGCCTTCAGCAGGTCTGCGGTGGGGGGGTCCTGCAGCGGGAGGTAGCCGTCAGCCGGGTACGTGGCGCCCTCTCAGGTAAAGGACAAAAACACCTGATTGACTGATCAGAGCCTCTGGTTCTGGTCCAGAAGGATCCAGAACAGAACCAGACCCAGGCACACACCCGATCAGACCAGCAGACAAGATAATTTCATCTTTTATCTCAGGATTAAAATCTGTTGCGTTGTTTTCATGCAGCTCATCAGTTTCTCCAAGCTTTTAGTTTTTTAGTGTCTGAGGTTCTGCTGATCGTTTAAAAGCTCCTGTTTCTAATCTGTTCTCCAACAATCACATTTGTTTTCTTTGGACAAATCCTTGGAAATATGGACTGGGGAAGCTAATATTAGTGCTAGCTGCTACATGCTTAGCATCGTGATGCTACTTTAGGCTTGAATAGCTTCGCTGAAAGGCTAACTCCTTTTAGCAGAACTTGAACAACCTGCGATGGACTGGCGACCTGTGACCTCGCCTCTTGCCCCCGACCTCCCGACCCCACCAGGGAGAAGTGTTAGAAAATGGATGGATGGACACAACAACAATGTTAAAACAATAATAAAATCGGTCAGAACCTTTGTACTCTATCTGACACATTAGTGACATCCATAAACAACAATGGGGTTCATTTCTGCTTCACTTCAAGGCGAGTAGAGCAGCACCTTGCAATAAAATATATTTGTTGTTCAGATCATTTATTTATTTAGTTGTTGAAGTGAAAATGGTTCTTATTTTGCCACTGTAGTCAGAAAAGCAAAGCTATTTGTTCCTCTAATTTGCATCAATATCTCATAGATACGGTCAGATTCCCTCTAAATTAAAGCAGCAGATCTGTGCAGGGAGACGGCGAGGAAGGATATCTGAGCGGCCGGCTGCCGAAGTTAAACGCCACCGACTCTTTGAAGGAGAGGCTGATGGCCGGGAAGTAGGCCACGCCGGGACCCGTCTTGATGCTGCTGAAGGCCGTCCCCAGAGACTGGCCGTTCCTGGAGACACGGGGAGAGAAGACACAGCGCAGGTTAGCTTAGCTTAGCATAAAGACTGGAAACAGATGGAAACTGTTAGCATGTGCTGACTCACAGGCAGAAGGTGATGGTTCCTTCATCCAGGTTGATCAGACAGCTGACAATGTCTCCAGCCGCCCACGACTGCAGAGGAAAACAGAACATCTGGATCTGGTTCTGACCCAAAACACAAAGTTAGACCCACAACAACCTGGTTCTGACAAGAAATGCAAACAATTAACTTACAGTTAATTTGGTTTTTGTGCAAGTCAAGAATGGAACAAATTTACGATTAATTCAAGATTTTTAGGTAGAAGACCAGGTATCGGTTTTAATTTTTATGTTTTTTTTTATTACATTTTGGTAAATCTAGCAGCAAAGGCAATAACCCCAGAAAAAACTTTTGATGAAGAATATTTATCCTACTTGTCCTTTATTACAATAACTGTGCTAAAACTTGCTTCTGCAACAATTAGACACTTTAAACTTTAAAATAACATCTATTTTTATTGCAGAGATAAAAACAACAAATGTCTACAGAAATAAATCTTTTCAGTTTGATGTGATGCCAAATACTTTGGACACCACTGGCTTAGACCCGTTTTTAGTTTTGTAGTTAAGCCGCCGTCCAGCAGAGGGCGCCGCTGGTCCTCCTTACAAGAAGCTAGAACAGAAACAAATATGGCGGCAGGGACGTACATGGGAAGTGAACGGTCCAGAGTCCGTGTGGAATCAAAAAACGCACTTATGCGTTTTTGTTCAAGAACATAAACACTGAACAAAGTGCAGAAGTTTCACCTTAATATCCTGATAAATCCCTGATAGTCATGGAGAGAAATAGATAGTCATGCGTGTGTAATCCTGGATTTATAATCCGTGTAAACGTTTCTGGACAGTGTATCTGAAACATGGTTTGTAAACTGTAAAACAAAAATGTGTGTGTAACTCTGGGTACTTGTAAACGTGGTCAAATGCAGACACACATATTAAGAAACTACGAACACAAAATGAAACTACACACACAATTGCAATATCTATAAATGTTACATTTCTACACAGATTTTTAAGTTCAACCTCACAAATGTGATAATTAAGAATCCAAACCTTTTCCTGCGACTCATGTTAAATAAGTATCACAAGTCGCCGAATGCAGACAGAACTGCTGTGTTTCCACACAGGAATGTTCACGCGGATCACAAATCCAGCACACAGGCATTTTGAGACTATTTTCTCTCCGTAGGTTTTCTATGAAGATGTGATGGCAGAAAAACAGCAAAATGATGGAAAAATCCATGACGCCAATAAACCGGGTGGATTCTGAGGCGAAGCTTCAACTTGAGCAGACGGTTCTGATGGATGAAATCAGCAGTTTTATGTTTCATGAATATGTCCAACAAGAAAACCACAAACTTATATTTATTTAGTCTGTTTAACACTAAAAATATTATAAAATATAATAAATTCAACAAAAACATTTGGACCGTCACGTTACAGGGAGACAGTGGAAACCCAGAGGTTCTGACCCGAACCTCGAGGTTCTGACCCGAACCCCGAGGTTCTGACCCGAACCCCGAGGTTCTGACCCGAACCTAGAGGTTCTGACCCGAACCTAGAGGTTCTGACCCGCTTCGATCCGTTTCCTGTGTCACCTTTCCGTAGTTGGTTGTCGTCACGTTCCACTTTCTGACCCGGTTTCCATCGTAGGCATACGAGTCCGGCGTGTCCCCGACCCCTTCCTGAGAACAAATAATAGTGTCAGAACCGACCCGACCCGACCCGACCCGGCTCTTCCTTATCCTCACCTCCTGGTTGAAGCGACAGCTCAGAGTGCACCAGCCGATCTGCATCAGACCCTGAGAGGAGATCAAAACCTCGTAGGCCCATTTCCCTGCAGGAACAGAACCCACCGTTCAGATGTTCTGTTGGGCCCGGTCCAGTCAGAACCCGGCAGAACCGGTGGGTTTTACCTTTAAAAACGCAGGTGGTGGCTCTGATGGAACTGAAGTTGCTGTGGCCAATCACCTGCAGGAAGCAAACATCATGTGAGACGTTCTGCTACTGTCTGGAAGTTCTGACCCAAACGGACCCGGCTCACCCCCAGCAGGTCGTCGTCCACGAACAAGAGGCCCTCAAAGCCGCTGGTGTGGTCCAGAACCACAGGCTGAGGACCCAGACGGCCCTCTGCAGACGGATCTGAGGACAGAGACATGATCAGGCTGCAAAAACTGCAAAAACTAAACCTGACCAACAACTGCTGTGCAGCTTCTACTGCAAATATCTGAAGACACAGCGGGAGCCGCCAGGGGGCGCTAGAGGGCCTCAGACAGTTGGAGGAATAATTAGGAAAAAAATGGAATCCAATAAATGTCTTTTTTTCTACAAATATTATCTGTGTTTCAATCATTATTATAATATAAATTCCTGAAGATGGACACAGAAGATAGAAGTTGCTTTTATTTTCCTCAGGGAAAATTCAGGAAAATGTTATTTAGCATCTCTCTGGCTGCCAGTCAAATTTATCAAGCTGCTTTGCTCCTTAAGCTAGCGTAGCGAGCTAGCTTAGCAAGCTGGCAACTAGCGTAGCAGCTAACACAACATGGCAAAGCTTCTGACAAAAAAAAAAGACTGAAGGAAGCGTCCAGCAGCCCGGCTGCAGGAACTCTGCTGGAAAAGTCTAAACTACAAAGGTTACATAAAACTCATGAAAATGTTATGGATTTTATTATCAATGTTAAGTTTTTTATCTGGTAGTGTACTGAACATCAGATGAATAAAGTCACTGACATTTTCCACCACAGAATTCACTGCCAACAGAAATGAGAAGGTTTGAAGCAGCGTTTATGCTGAATGGATGAAACGATTATAGAAAAGTAATACAAGTGGAAGATTCAAAGTTTCTGTACAGCAACAGACACAAACTAAAGCCGACGTGAAGCCAGAAAAAAACTGAGAAAATATAAGAGCTGTTTTAACTAAATTATTTTTGAAGATGAAAAAAGTGAATCTAGTTCTTTTAATCAATATTAAGGATTTATTTACTGAAGACAAGCTCATGCACTTTGCTGAAAAGTTACTTGTAATTTAGTTTTGTCTGATTTGGAGTTGCTGTGACATTTGTAGTTATGCACTAATCCAGTTTTCACTCCCCAGAAGCAGAGGATGATATAAGTAAAGAAAGATATCGGAACTAGAAACTAACCAGAGAATTAATATCAGCAGATACAAAAATAGCTACTGAAATGACTTCAAAAGCTTTTATTTTTTTTATTTTTAAAATACAGACATAAAAGTAGAGAATTATTAAATTTTTGATAACCCTGCACCAGAACAGCAGACTTAAAACACATAAAAACAGCTTTAATTTGTTCAGCCAGAGCAGTTAGGAATAAAACAGCCAATTAAAAATAATTAATAAAGAAACTGAACCTGACAAAAACAACAGATGGACTTTCTTGGTCAAAGATGTAAAGATAAACTGCAACAAACGTTTGAAATGGTTCAGAAAATGCAACTAGGAATTATAAATATAAGGAAAGATAAATAATAAATAAATAAAAATAAATAATAATTAGACTGAATAGATGTAAACTTATGGATCAGGAACACTGATGCCTGATCTAGATTGTTTCCAATATTGGGACCAATGCAGATATTGATGTCACATCGGTGCATCTTTGCAGTAGAAACGAGAGAAAACATCCCTGGTCAGGTTTTGTGTTTTTACAGTGCAAGGCGCTGCAGCAGGACTTTACCTCTGAGCTCTTCAGGTGTTTCTCCTTCAGACAGAAGCTTCTCCAGGTGTGAGCTCAGGTCCTGGAAACCAAGAGGCTTCCTGCAGACCGACACAGAAAGGCTGAAGGTTCGAGTCCCCTGAGGAGCCGGGACCAGAACCAGAACAGAACCAGCTGGAGCTCCGGTTACCTGGTTACCTTCAGGCTGTGTTCTGGACATCACACACTGATCAGATTCTTTATTCAGTCAATACTGTCTTTATGGACGGAGGTTAGGAACAATAATGTTAAAGCTGGAAAATTTAGGATCAGTGCAGAACCCCGGTTCTTTGGCACTTTAAGTCCAGTCCAAACTTTATTCAGTTTTATTATCATTATTATTATTATCATTATCACCATTTACTTATTTAATTCAAACATCAAAATGTGAAATAAACATGATTATAAAATAAAAAAGAGATAAATAAAGTCAGAAAGGATTAAATCTATAAAAAATGGAAACATCCAGAGAGAAGAAGAAAAGTTTGTCCGAACAGCTGGCAGAACCGTTCTATCATTAGAACCGGGCCTGAAACATGAAGCTGGTGGCTTACAGGACCACACACACACACACACACACACACACACACACACACACACACACACACACACACGGCCTGATATGACCTTCCACTGACTGAACTGCAGTGAGTGTGTCAGAGTCAGAACCGGGCCGGTTTGGGCTGTAGAACCGGCAGCGGGTGTGGTACCTGAGCGAGGCGAAGGTCGGCTCCGGCTTGGTGGAGGGAAACACGTGGTGCAGGTAGTCGCTCAGAAGCTTCTCGTTCACAATACCTGGGAGACAACATACATCACCAATATATTACCAATATACTACCAATACATCACCAATATGTTATCAATACATCACTAATATATTACCAATACATCACCAATATATTACCAATACATCACCAATATGTTATCAATACATCACCAATATATTACCAATACATCACCAATATATTATCAATACATCACCAATATATTACCAATATACTACCAATACATCACCAATATGTTATCAATACATCACCAATATATTACCAATACATCACCAATATATTACCAATATACTACCAATACATCACCAATATGTTATCAATACATCACCAATATATTACCAATACATCACCAATATATTATCAATACATCACCAATATATTACCAATATACTACCAATATATTACCAATATACTACCAATACATCACCCAATATGTTATCAATACATCATATATATTACCAATACATCACCAATATATTATCAATACATCACCAATATATATCAATACATCACCAATATATTACCAATATATTACCAATATACTACCAATACATCACCAATATGTTATCAATACATCACCAATATATACCAATACATCACCAATATATTATCAATACATCACCAATATATTACCAATATACTACCAATATATTACCAATATACTACCAATACATCACCCAATATGTTATCAATACATCATATATATTACCAATACATCACCAATATATTATCAATACATCACCAATATATTACCAATATACTACCAATACATCACCAATATGTTATCAATACATCACCAATATATTACCAATATACTACCAATACATCACCCAATATGTTATCAATACATCACCAATATATTACCAATATACTACCAATACATCACCAATATGTTATCAATACATCACCAATATATTACCAATATACTACCAATACATCACCCAATATGTTATCAATACATCACCAATATATTACCAATATACTACCAATACATCACCCAATATGTTATCAATACATCACCAATATATTACCAATACATCACCAATATATTATCAATACATCACCAATATATTACCAATATACTACCAATACATCACCAATATGTTATCAATACATCACCAATATATTACCAATATACTACCAATACATCACCAATATGTTATCAATACATCACCAATATGTTATCAATACATCACCAATATATTGTTAAAACATTTGATGTTTCATTAATTGTCCCCAAATCCACAATCCATAAATAATAATTTATAGCTGGTTGTCAGGCATTTTGCATCCAGGGATCATGGAATCCCTAACAGGAAGTACTTCCTGTGACCTGCGGCTGATCTCTGGTGTCCTACCTGTGGATCTGGGTTTGTCCATGTCTGAGGCCAGTCTGTAGTTCCTGCGAGTCAGAGCTGTGACTCCTCCCTTCGTGCTCATCCTGATTCACCGCCCGCACACTGCTGACAGAACAGAGTTTCAGGTTTTCCCCCACCGCATCATAAGCCTGGCAGCTGCCAGGCTTACGTCCCCCACCATCCTAAGATTCTTTTCTCTATTTTAAATAACATCTTATACACCAGTAATAGTGATATCAAAGACAAATTAAAGAGTATCTTTGATAAAACGATTGAAAGGGCAATTGCAACATCTCAAGTGTGAGGTCAGGGGTCATTTTTTTGATCAATGGGTCTCATAATTTCCTGTCAGCACACTAACAACTTCATCAAACGAAGTGATTAGACATGAATAAAGGACTGAAAGTAAATAAAATTCTTTCCTGAAATCTGAGAGGTAGCAGAGACAATGTTCAGCTGCTGTACTCGCCTGGCCAGAACCTCGGCGGGATACATGAGGCAGTTAGGATTAGTGGGTTAGAGTAAGGTTAGTTAGTGCCAGCGAGAATGCATATTAGTACATCGTAAAGGAACCTTCTGCATATGGAGAGCCTGAGCGGGACGTGAGACTGATGTGAGCCCATAAATCAGTGTGAACATAGAAAAACATTTTGTATGTGCTTGACTCTGCATCTGTCAGCTAATGTGCCACCAGCCAGTCACAGACAGCTCTTTTTCATCCAGCTAGGCGATTCCTGTTTGGATAAATAACAGCCAATTAGAGCACAGCACCAAGTGGCATAAATTACCAAACAAACTGAGAATATCCAGCTTGGCCGTACACAGTGGATCCATTGCTTTCATGAGGTTCGTTGCTGACAGAACCCACAAGGGTTGATTAATCCGAATCTCAGCAAATTTACATCAGTCAAATAGTATTTTAATTATTATTTTACCACAAACTAAATCTTAAAGATGTCCTGATATAACCAGGGAACATTTCCTTCTGTCTCACTTTCAGCTGAATATTTCCTCTTACTGATGTCGAACAGTTTTGCAGTAAGAAGCTAAACGTTACACCAGGTTAGTAACAAGCATTTATTATCCATTAATTAAGTTACTCATCAGCATTTATTCTCCAGAATCTCATAATGTTTAAGCTCAAAGGCGTCCTGGTCCTCCAGGCTCTCTAACGCTGCTGTTAGCTTTAGCTGGAGCCCCATAAACTGCTGTTAGCTCTGTTAGCTCACCGCAGAGCTCGGGCTAACATCAGCTGTCGGGTTCGGTTCTGGTTCTGCGAGGGATGACAGCAGGTGTTGGCTCAGTTCGGTTTGGTTACCTGTCAGTCATAAAACTAGCAGTAAGCTAACAGCTAAAGATAACTAGCTATTGCTAACCTTACCTCCAGCGTCTCACCGCTTGAGCGGGACTCCCCTCCAGCGGTGTCCCGCTGCTGTGAGCTTCACACCGGCTGATGGAAGATCGGTGAGCCGCTGATTTTTCCAGTTTGTTGACGCCTGAAGTGTACGGAGTGCAGCTAGGTCCAAAATAGAGAACACAAATCCCGTTCCTGGAAACAACGTGAGAAGAGGAAGACGTCAGGGCTTCTCAGTTTTTATATTCAGTTACTACGTCAACATACTTTTATTCGAATAAAGTCAAAAGTAGCATCCAAGACATTACTCAAGAAAGAATGAAGGCCACAGAAGATGTTTATCCAGTGGAAAATAAACTCAAATGAGGCACACTATGGGCACACTGATATGTCTCCCTCTCTTGGTCACTTTATGTCACTGCAGACTGAAACCGCCCTTCCAGTGCATGCGCTAGTTCATTCGGGTATTCTCACTCACCAACATCAAACATATGCAGGATAATTATGGCATGGATGGAGAGCCCATCTGAGGACGATGAAAGGTGATCATGCTGAGGTTAGACCGAATCATTTGATTAAGTTTCTCAGACTCACATTCAACTGTTTTATGAAGTTTTTTTTAAGTTAAATGATTTCCTGTGGTTGCTGGAAGTTGAATAGCTCAAATTTATGTTCATTCATTCATCTCGTAAATTGTCTTTCAAAATATGACATTTATATTCAAGGAAACCTAAATTCACTGGGTCTACTTCTTACCAGTCAGTCGGCATGTGGGCCGGTTCGAAGTGAAGCCGAGAGGAGGAGGAGAGGAAGTTTAACAGACAAGTAACAGTGGATGAATAAGAAATGAATCCCAGTGGAGATCACCTGCTGGAATAATCAGCGTTCATCTTTACATCATTACTCATTTGCTAGGTTTAAAATTTGTATTGAATATTTCACTTTTTCAAGGCAGATCTATCCTGTATGACTGTTAGAAAATGAAATATTAACTTTCACAGATCATCTGGAGGTCCAAACTCCGCCTTTCCGGTGTGCCAGCAGCTTCGCCGGTGTGTGAATGGAGGAGAACCACGCTGACAGAAAAGTTCTGCAGCTTGGTGTTTGAGTAATGGCCTTTGATTGGCTGATAAAATAGTTCTGCTCTGTGATTGGTCACGAAGATACCCGCCTCTGGAAGGTTCCATTTTTCTGAGGGATGTTAAAAATTGACCAGAAAAACATTTTATAGTTTTAAGGTGAAACATTTCCTCGTGTTGAGTGATATTTATGTAAAAACACCCAGGTATAGCAGTTTGGTGTTCCTGGTCGAGTGGGACTGACAGTGAGGCCGCGGCCTGGCCCCTGCCGCGGCCTGCCCCCCTGCCAGCAGGTCGCTGCCTCCACTTGGCCTCCTGTCATCTCCCTGATCACTCCGGATCGGTTATTGATCAGGTTTTCGGGGCTGGAACGGGATCGTTCAGCCGCTTCCCTCTCTCTGAGCGCCGCTGGGTCTCGACAGAAGATGCTCCGTGTCCGGGTGCTGCTGGGCCGGTCCTGGAGGGGGTAAGTCCCGGCGCTGAACTTCACATGAGCGGACACGAGACTCCGGAGACTCCCAGGTGTTCAGATGATCACCTGACCCACTGACGCTTTCAGTAACTTGTGGGGACAACAGGCGCCTTATTACGCGGTGCCGTTGAGCTTCAGGTGTGTTACCTAATGACACCTGATCTCCTGGTCCAGGTTGGTTCTGATCTCCTCTGCAGAACAGCTACTCCACTGCAGCTGCGCAGATTCTCAGCAGGAAACACGTGTTGGTGATTGTTTCATGGAAATAAGTTAAATACTGTAAAAACACCCGATTTACTTCTTTAATCTCTGGGGAGTAGAAACTCAGCGCAGATCAAAAAACAGCGCAAATTAAAGGAGTAGTTTGTAACTGTTACTGCCATCTAGTGGTCACAATAGAAATGACAACCTCGTTAAAAATCAAAATAAACGATGAAATTAATAAGTAGAACACACTGAAATTATACTTGCAATATTCTATGTTTTTATGTTTGACTATGTTTTAGCCTTTCAAACTAATGTGAAATAGATTTTTTTTTGCAAACACACAAGCAGTTTACGCCAGCTGGTGGCAAATGACCACCAGCTGGCGTAACACCAGCTGGCTCTGCTCTTTAGGGGAGCCCTTTAGGGCCCTCTTTAGGGGAGCCCTGCACTGGAGAAAATGAAACATTTCACTAATAACAGCTAATAAAAACTGAATTAGACAAACAGTCACAATGAAATAAAACTATGCAATAATAAAAAACCCAAAAGAAGCCTGCTGCTCGGTCAGCCGCTTACATTTTTGGCCGCCATCTTTGTAGTATCCGCACTTTCCTCTGAGTTCTCCTCTGCTGCCCCCTGGTGACTATTTGGGGGAATTTTTTGACTAATTCTGTTTTCTGTTCATATATTTGAGTTCTGACTGTGTAACTAAAGTCAGACTCAAGACTAGAAGAAGCTTGACCTTTGAACTGTCAACATGTCTAATGATTAAAACCATCTGGAGTTTAAACAGACAGGGAGTTTTTTTCCAAACATCATCAAATAAATATTTCAGACTCCGAGTCAGACTGGTTCTGCAGGTTCTGGTCTACTGAAACACCAGAACTGAAACCAGAACCGCTTCTAGAATTATTGATCTGGAAAGTCGATCACCTCCACGCAGAGGAGAGCTGCAAATGAAGCTGCTGTTCCAGCTGCTGTTCCAGCTGCAGCAGCGGCGCAGGGTGAAGGCCGGCCGGTTCTGGGGAAAGGCCCAGCTGGTTCTGGTTCCAGTCCCTCCTCCTCTTCGTCGGGTCAGGGTTCAGATTGCTGCTGTTAATCACAGCCGAGCCCAGGCAGCCGTCCAGCTGAGCCGCTCCGACCCGATCCGGTCCGATCCAGTCCAAAGTACAGAGAAGGAAAATGAGCAGAACAACAGAGTGAGTCTGAAAAACCCGACCCGGTTTAATCAGAGTAGAACCTGCTGGACAGAACCGAGTCCAGTCCGGGTTTTATTACTTAGTCGAAGGTTTGGTTCTGTGGGTTCTGGACAGGACACTGGAACAGAACCAGAACCGGTTCCAAAAGTTTATTTAAAAATCTGAAGGTTCTGACCCAAACCCGGCCCAAATCTGGTGTCTGAAAACAAAGTTCTGGTTCTGAAACGTCTAATAGAAACAAACTGGCCCAGAGAACTTTTAAGAAGCGGTCCAGAACCAGAAATGGGCCCGAAGAGGAGCTGAGTGTTTATTTATCAAGCATTCTGCAGAGATCTGGTCCAATCCAATTGGTTCTGTTCCGATCCGGGTTTAAGCTTCGCATCTACTGGGTCAGAAGAAGTCACAGCATCTGGGTTTCTGGTTCTGCTGTGACCCAGCGGGTCAGAACCAACGGTTTTCTGCTTCCAGGTTCCGGACGTTCCCAGGTTTGGCCGTAGAAGTGAAGAACGAACCTATCCTGGGCTTCGAGGCGGGGAGTCCAGAACGGGCCGAGCTGCAGAAGGTGGTGGTTCTCCAGGCCCGGTTCTGATCCGTTTGGGCTGCTGGTGGTGTTTTAACCCTGCGCTGTGTCTGCAGGCGCTGGACGGCCTAAAGGGCGGACAGAGGAGGTTCCCTGTGTGGTAGGAGATGAACTGGTTTGGACCAAAGACGTCCGGTACCAGCTGTCTGTGAGTCAGACACGGAACCACTTAAGGTTCTGGAGACGCGCCTCCTGACCTCTGACCTCTGTGTGTTTCTGTTTCCAGCCTTTCAACCACTCTCACAAGGTGGCAAAGTTCTGCTACGCTAACAAGGTATATTACCCAGAACCGGTAAACCCAGACACTTTTGTTCAGACTTTAGAATTCATTTTATTTGTTGTGTTGTTTATTTATTTTGAATATTTAAAATTCAAAATAATTTGAATTATGTCAATTATCTTGAAATAATTTGATTAATTCTGTTTCTGTCATATATTTGAGTTCTGACTGCGTAACGAATGTCAAATGGAAGTGAACATTTATTGATCTTCTTGCATAATTTTTGTCACATGACAATATCATCATTTATCGCCATAGCTTCTGGGTAAAACATGCACTCCGGTTCTGTCTCTTTAAATCCAGTCCATGACGCCACCAAGGCCGAACGTTTGAATTAGAGTTTAGATTTTTGGCCTTTTCTAGACCCAGTCTAAGGCAGCGCTCACACAGCAGGAAATGACGTGCTTCATCTGCAGGTCGCTTTGGGGTCAGAAGTCGTTACCACAAAAGTCTGATTGAATAGTTAGCATGAACAAACACGCAGAAGAGATCGGACACGACCGATAAATCGTAATCGAGCATCACGACCTGCTGAAGAATCGCAACCTAACTCCATCTTGGATCTCCTCCAGGAGCTGATCGATAAGGCCATCCAGGCATCGCTGGCGGCCCGGAGGGAGTGGGACCTGAAACCCGTCCGGGACCGGGCCCAGATCCTGTTCAAGGCTGCCGACGTCATCAGCGGGCCCAAGAGAGCCGAGATCCTGGCCAAGACTATGATCGGACAGGCAGGTGGCCCCCTGGAGGTCGGGTGACCCCCATGGAGTTCCGGTGACCTATGACCTCTCTCTGTCTGGTGTTCAGGGCAAAACAGTGGTCCAGGCGGAGATCGACGCCGCTGCAGAACTCATCGACTTCTTCCGGTTCAATGCCAAGCACGCCGTGGAGCTGGAGGCCCAGCAGCCAATCAGCACCAAGGAGAGCACCAACACTGCGCTGTACCGGGGCTGGAGGTAGGGAGCTGTCATCATGCTTACTGGCTCCGTTTGGTTCTGGGTTTTCTGACCGGTTCTGGACCTGCCTGTATTTCAGGGCTTCGTAGCAGCAGTGGCGCCGTTTAACTTCACCGCCATCGGGGGAAACCTGGCAGGAACACCTGCTCTCATGGTGAGTTCTGCAGGTCCGACCTACTTCAGAACCGCAAAGACTGGACTCTTGGCTTGGATTTGTGCCCTAATGACTTGGACTTGCACTCTAAATCTGTGTGCCCTGACCTGTAGAGCACTGACCTCTGACCCCTTGCATCCCAGGGCAACGTGGTTCTTTGGAAGCCCAGTGACACGGCGGTCTCGGCCAGCTACGCGGTCTACCGAGTCCTGCGCGACTGCGGCCTGCCGCCCAACATCATCCAGTTCCTGCCGGCCGACGGCCCCGTGTTTGGCGACGCCGTCACTTCCTCCCCGCACCTGGCAGGGATCAACTTCACCGGCAGCGTGCCGTAAGGACGCCCGACCCAACCGCCTCTGGCTCCGTTGCCGTTATCATGCCAACCACGTCTGTTTTGCCACTTGCAGGACCTTCAAGCGTCTGTGGAAGCAGGTGGCCCAGAACATAGACATCTACCGGACGTTTCCCCGCCTGGCCGGAGGTGAGTGGTGACCCATCCTTCAGCTCCCGGTTCTGGATCTGGTTCTGACCCACTATGTGTCGCCAGAGTGCGGTGGGAAGAACTTCCACTTTGTGCACTCGTCTGCGGACGTCCGGAGCGTGGTGTTGGGGACGATCCGCTCAGCCTTCGAGTACGGTGGCCAGAAATGCTCGGCCTGCTCCAGGATGTACGTTCCCGATAGCAGCTGGCCGCAGATCAGAGAGCAGTTGTTGGAAAATCCTCAAGGACGTCCGAGTGGGAGACGTGAGTGACCTCTGACCCTTGCAGGGTTTAGAGTGTGAGATCAGACCCAGAGTGAGGACTAACCGGATGTTTCTGACCCTCAGCCTGTCGAGGACTTCAGCACTTTCTTTTCTGCCGTTATAGACGATAAGGTAAACCTCGTTAACTCGTTAAGACTCCACATTAGCTCTGTGGCTAATCTGTCCCTGTGGCTCCGCCCTCTCCAGTCCTTCGCTAGGATC